GCTACATCTTCTCGTGATGTAGGTTCAGGTTCTCAACATCTAGATCACGCTTAGATCAATTCACGATCTTCAGTTCAGCTGCATCATTGGTGAGTCCTCATTCTTCGAGGACAATAGTCATGTTATCTTTTCATTATTTCAATCTTTTAGTTTCAGTTTTGTTAGACTTAGTTGGGGCATGTCTTAGCACTTCTAGTCAGTTAGAGACTATTTTCAGACATAGTTAGATTCAACTTAGTATTTGAGTTTGATGTTTCTTTTGTATTAACCTCTCAGATTTGATATTCAGTTTTAGTATATGGGTATTCCCCATAATTTCAGATTTACTTATTATTAGCTTCCGCATCAGTTTTATTTCTCAGTTTATCTTTAGTATGCTCATGATTATGCCAACATGATTAGCTTGGGGTCACTTGTGATCCTAGGTCTCGTGTCCGCTCTCAGAGGTAGCTCGGGGTGTGACAATATACTCCCTCTGTCCAACAATAGTTGCCTACTACTGACTTGACATACCCTTTAAGAAACAATAAATAATAAGGGTAAAATTATTATATTATCCTTTGACTTTATTAAATTTAATGCTTTGAGAAATGTGTTATATGATAAATAGTAGGGAAAATAGACACAAAAGATAAATTATCTCTTGATTTTTTAAATTGAACAAATATTGTTGGACAACTATCATATATTTATATAAAAGAGAACTCTAAGCCCGCCTACGTAGTGCCACCACTAGCTAGAATTTTTTTAAAATTTATTTATTTAAAGAACAACTATTGTTAAACGGAAGGAGTATAAGTTACATTATCGATTAATTTAAATGTCTTGATTGACATATGTATTTTACATAGCTGAAAATAAACATCATGATGTGGCATCATGCATGCCTCATTGACCAATATTACTCATTTTTATCTTGATTCTCCCTCATAGTTATCTTTTACATAATTTATCATAATATATATTTGATGATATAATTGTCTTGTTAAAATTGAGTGATGTTTTTATGTAGCGATAAAACATCATTTTTTCTATTTTTTTGTACATGAAAAATATAGAATCTGATAATTTTATGGTTAGAATAACTCCTTGTGAAAATAAAATGATGTGAATGCTTTTGATAATCAATATTAGTAATAAATAAGTTAAGACCGTTAAAAACTGTACACCACAACAACATAAATAATTTTTTTTAGAGACAATCTACTTGTCTGAGGTCAAACGTTCACTACTTTTCGTTATTGTTACTTTGTAACTCTAACAAAAGTTTTAGAAGTAGAAAAATAAATTTGAAACAACAACAAAATAATATTGTTGACGATTTTAGAAATTTATTCTTCATTAAACTGCTGCTCTGAAGGCCCTTCTAGATGCTTTATCAATGCAATTTTAAGACTCTTTCAGAAATATGTATGTATAATTGTTGCATTATGAAAATACAAGTAGATCAAAATGTTGGATTCTAGACTCATGTTAAAGAAATATTCTCGAACATAAAAAAAATGAGTCTAACCTAGATAACTCAAACGCTCAGCAATGACTTGGGACATGAAGGACAACAAATTTATGTTAATAGACATATCTTTTGTAGCTTAAGATAATACTTTTATTTAGAGTACGTTTTTTTTCATATTTTTCAAATTAAGTTTGCCGAAAATAGTCATAACTCACACAAAAAATATTTAGAAGAGCCGAATGAGAAGGAAAAAAAGAAAAACATTAAAAGGACAAAAGCTTTGTTAAAGTGAGATCATATACATACAAAACGAAAAATAATCAATACAATTTTAAGGAGACAACAAAATAGCGAGAAAAAACATACATTAAATGGAGTAAACTATGAGATATCCAATGATGATAACAAATCATTCTTACCACAAAAGTTCCTATGTTTTGAAATAACATACATAAAAAAATTGACCAACACTTCAATCAACTTTCAATTCTTAAAGTACTCATAATATTTACTAATAAAATTTAGTAAAAATAGATAACAACAACATAAATACCAAAAAATATGGGCATGCAAAGTTATTCTAAAGAACAAAAAATCACATCCTTGTATGTGAAGGAATGACGTTGTTGATGAAGAAATTAGAGATTTGTAAGGAATTTATTTATTGTCCCTTCAACAATTCCAATAGAGAAAACTTGCTTAAATACTCAATTAACGTTTGTTATTTAATCTATACTAACAAATACTTATAACAATAACTTTGCAAACACATAAACAACAAAGTTTAAATCATGTACTCAAAAACAACAATTAATAATATAAGTAAAAATTAATGACGGTAAAAAACATACCAGGATCTATATCAATAGAATGGAACAAAAAGGAAAAAATCGAGCCCACTGAATGCACAGTGTCCCCTTAAGGAAATTATTCCCCTCTAGTACCCCGAGGTTTAAAGGAATAGATCCTCTCAGGATAGAACGATTCTATTCACCAGTGTATTGATACAAAAAAAATGGTGTCAGTGAGCCACCAAACAGGAGCAAAGTACACAAATATTTAATTGTCCCGAAGAAGAAGAAGTAGTTCAGAATTTTCGTTGTTTTAAAATGAGAGGAAATTCCACTATTTATAAACAACAAAGGGTAGTGTGAACAAATGTTTATTGTGCCTTATCGGAAAAATCACAACTCTTTTGGAAAAAGTTACAACCCTTCGGAAATGTCACAACCTTTCATAAAAGTCACAACTTTTCATAAAAGGAGAAGGCTAGTTTTGGAAATAAAATACATTAAAAGAGAATCTTGATTTGTAGTGGCACCACGTAGGCGGGCCTAAGGTTCTCTTTTATATATATTATGATTATGATTCTTTAACATAAGAACTTATTATCTTTATTTGTATTACTCTCATGACTATTGATGATCATAACTATTAAACTATACTAATAGTCATGATATATATATTCTTCTAGATAATATGATGCAACGTAACGAAACATAGGGTCATTGTGGACCTAGTTCCATGTGAAGCAGAGTCATAAACTGAAGTAATAAGATTATTCGATAACTGTCTAGCAAAAGTAATTCCTAATTTATCTGCTTACGCTAATAAAGCTTCCACAACAGATATTGGAGGAACTAGCATATAGATAAAATGATCAAAAATTTGTTTTCCACCTCTTCCATTGTAAGCAAGTCCGCTACCATATTCTGCTCTCGATAACTATGTTTGAGCAGTGGGCCTCATAGTCTATCTTAAACAACCTGCATTCAAATAAAAGTAATGAATAAGTGTTGTGATCGATATGCATTACATATTTGCCTATCTACGAGGGTGTTTGGCTAAGCTCATAAGCTGATCAAATTGATTTATAAGTATCATTTACCATATTACGTGTTTGCTAATCCAAAGTGCTATAAGCCAAAAGTCATAAGTTGGTCACTCCCAACTTTATGACTTTTCAACTTATAAACACTTCTAATTTTACCAAAACTCTTAATATTTTATCCTATAATATTTTTCAATTCATAAAATACCTTTCCCAAAAACAAGACTCTTAAATTTCTCTTCATTAAATATTTGTTGTTCCTCTAAAAAGATTAGGATATTTGAGTTGTTTTAATAAAAGAACAATTTATCAACACTTTTCCACCCAACACATCAACTAGGGGTCGTTTGTTATGAGAGGTAAAGGATAATAATCTCGAGATAAAATGCATGATTACTTTATCCTGCGTTTGGTTATGTGTATTAAGTAGTGTGATGATTATTAATCTCATCTCCATACCGAAACAACCCTAAAAATGCTCTACATTGGTGATGAATAGATAATCAGTGACTTACTTTTAGGCAGGGTAACATAAGCTTCAAGTATGACTTTATCATCAACAAGATAACCTCTTCCAGGATCATATAGTTCAGTAAGAGGCATGAATGATATGAAACCCCATTCGCGCATTCTTGCAGTAAACTGGAGCTGAGTATCTGTCATAACGATCATAACATTACACGAAATAGTAAGCACCTTCTAATCAAATTACAACACTCTAACAGAATCCTCAGCAATAAGGTGAAAGTTCAGATAGTCAACTGACTAGGCTACTAAGATTTCCTTTCAGTGAAAGTAATTAAATGTGAGTAAAGACATCCATGTTATAGAGAATCAGGCTCAGCAAAAACCTATAGATTATAATTCCTCTTCTTCAATTCACGCGAAAATTAAAATTCATATCTTTTATGAAGAAATGAGATCTCTGACCTTTTCTCACTGTGAAATTGTCATCAATTTGATTGAGAACAGCTAAGCTAAATTGAGTGTATCTAATCCAACCATAAGGCAATGCTGCAGTATTTACCACTGTTAAATAAAGTGATAAATGGTCTCCATTGTTCCCTTTTGGGACTATCAGTATCCTCCTGCAAGACGATGCACCGTATACTAAATCATCATCATCATCATCATATTTGCATTAAATTTGTAACGCGATCTACTAAAAATGGGATGTATGTTGATTACCATTGATAACTTCCTACATTAAAAGCATCAGAGTACGAGTTCTTCCTATTCAACTTTGAGAAATTGTGGACAGTCCATGTAAACCGGGCTGATACTGGACCGTCCACTGCCACTGCATCCACGTCCATACTTACTGTCTCCGCTTTAGCAACTGCCAAAAACAAAGCATGCGAAATTTATAAATAACAGAGAAACAAAATACAATATATATCAGTAAATGATATGAATCCTCGAAATATATTGTTGTTTTTCGGTTAATTAGTGCAAAATAACACAAATTACAACTCAATCAATGTAAATATGTATATCAAATAACTAAAATAAGACTACACAAAGTGTGTGAGTGTGTGTTTAGAAGTAGGTGAGATACCTTCGACCTGCAGCCGAGGTCTGTTAGTAGGAAAATGAGATCTAGGAACAAGCTTTTCATGCCCTTTTAGCTGCGAAAGACCAAGCAAAGTAAGAAAATTCATTCCAACAAAACTGGAAAATTGTCATTAACATGTCTATTTCGAAACATGTCTATGTCTCATTAGTATACATTATTACTAAAGGTTTTGTGTTCGAATTTCAAATTGAAAACCTTTACACTTTGTTTGGGTGGTTGTTTCATATTGTTGTATTCTACTGTATTGTATCGTAATGTATTGTTTTGGAGAATATAATGTTTGGATAGACTGTATTGTTTCCTACAAGAAAAGTAGGGTACAAGGTAGAACTGCCATAAAAAGACAGTCTAATTATCAAATAATAAGTAAAAACAAAATGAGAAGCAGAAAAGAAAAGTGTGATGACGTGATCACACCATATCGATCCTTACACAAAATGGAACTTTTCATGGTTAGGACTTACGTGACGATGGATTTAAGTCTTGACTATATTGCTTGAGGGGTTTGGTTGTTTGGTTAAGCCAAAGTGAGCAAAATAAAATATTGCACAAAGACATAGCCATCATCCAAATCTATTGCAATGTTGTAACAATCTTTCATACCTCAAGGACAATATCACAAAAAGAGTGTCTCGTATATACCTGGCGATTGTGCACGTACTTCAAAAATGAAGGAACGTTAGGAAAGCGATATTGTTTACTGCATTGATTTCGAAGGGATTTCTGGAAGCAAATGATATCCCCATTGTCTAGCTGCAAAGGCAGAGGAGTATTACATTTCATTGCTAATAAATCCAGAAGAAGAAGTAAAGAGAAAAAACTGTTGAAGGAAATTAATTGCGCGTACATGGCAGTCACGAAGACTCAGCAGCATATTGTTAAGTTGTAAACACATCACATTGGGTTCAAATCTTATTTCCTGTGAATAACAAAATCTGAAAATCACATACCAAATGTTAAGAGTTAAAAAATTGGTAGCAAGAGAAGAAGAAAACTAACCTCGAAGAGATCAATTTCTTCATCAGGTGAAAAGCTAGCCAATTCTTTTAGCTTTGATGATATCTCTAGTAGCTTGCTTCTTTCTTTTACAAAAAGTCGTCCAACGTACCTGACAACAACAAAGAAATTAAACGGAGAAAAACTAGAAAACTGCATCCATTTAAAGTACAAAACACCTCTCCATGTAATCGTGTTTTCTAGAAATAGATGAGGAGATCCCAAATTCAAGCACGAAAATATTCCTGCTATTGAGAAGCAAGATGTAATACCTTATCTTCTCTTCGCGAGGGTTATAAAGTTTGAAAAATAGAAGGATTTCTTTGTTGGTCTTTCCTGGTGGAGGTAAACGTCGCAAATCCTGCAAGAATACACAAAATAAAAAAATAAAAATGTAAAAGTAAAACAGGTAGAATAAAGCCACACAGAAAAGACATGCAACAAGTTAATCACCGAAAAGAAAGACAAGAAAGCTATATGTTGCTCAGACGCTTCAAAAATGTCCCCAAGTGAGTGTCGGATCCTTCAAAAGTAGTTCATTTTTGGAGGATCCAACACGGGTGTGGCAACATTTTTGGAGTGTCCGAGTAACTTAGCAAGAAAGCAAGTCATCACATTACCGGGCATAATATTACTTCCAGAAACAGTTTTAGCTCAGTATTATTCACTGTATTTGAATTTTCTCTTAGTTGGCCAACCTGAGAACACAGACACACCATCAAAGAACTGAATACCGAGTTAATCAAGCACTCCCATCCTTTAACAGATTGTCGAAAACATGCACTACAGAAGAAAGATAGTCAGACAAAAAATGATGACATTATCAGCGACAAATGTAATGCTTCACATTCCTACCAATTCAACAGAGTTAGGATTGTAATAATTATTACATTCCTTCGTGACTTTTTTTGGGAGAAAATGGTGCTAGTTTGCGCAAACTTCGACTGTTCTAACACAAATATCATTGTTTTTTATATGTGATGGGATAAGTTAAGGAGAACAGTTTTTTTGTGGAAAACCAAACATGAAATATACAAAGAACATCACCAGTAAAACTGCAGAAAGATAGGACTATCAGACAACTTACGGAATATTGAATTTCCTCTTGAGATGTCAATGCACGATCAGGACGATATGTGTGGTTCTCACGTTTTTTCCATAGCCAGTAACGTTGAAATTGCACCGGTATACCAAATGCCTTGGCAACTTCCTCCTGGAAACAGATGTACCATCAAACATTATAAAGAAATGTACTTGGACCTAGCTCATGATCGGAGGATTGTCCAAAACTGTATAAAAAGGCCTCCCATCCCTAACACCCCTCGCACGCCCAGGACTAGACATTTGGGGCGTGGACAATATAAGATGGGGGACTAACATCGATAAATGATGATTGAGTCTGATACCACATGAGAAGTAATTATTGAATTATGTATCTACATTAGTACACTGAGGTCTATTTATAGACACTACATTATAATCAATTTTCACATAGGATACAATATACAACTCATGTTCTATTCCTATTCTAACAAGATACGTGCCATACTTAAGACTTACCATGAGTGACCAATTACATATGTTTATAGAGCGCAACTAATTTTGTGAACCCTCACTGCACTAACCACTAGAACTCCGTGTTCTCAATTTTTATGATCGTCTGTATACTCCTCATTTTTTACTTGCTTTAGCACTCAGAATTCGAAGTTTTTATCTTTTAACTCAATATAAAGCACAAATACAGAAAGTTTACATTCCATATTTTAAGTTGTAGAAGCAGCAAATTTCACATGACGCCTCTTTAATAAACAAGGGAAAACCGAATTCATTCTCACACAGTACATATAATTGTTCATCATGTTCGAAAAGAGTGCAACAAAATGATAAATGTACCTTGAATTTGGTAAATGGCATCTGTTTCTGCATACGAAAAGTACGTACTTTATCATGATTCACAAGATCAAAATAAATTTCCTTTCCGATTTGTTCACCAAAGTTTTCATCACGAGCTACCTGAAAAATGAAATGACTAATTTTAGCTAAATGTTTTCTAAAAGTATATAGGCACAAGTAAAGGATAGCGACAAAAAGTTGAAAGAAACCTTGATCATTGTGTAGAGACAAGCTTCTGCTTTTTGTTCTGTTTCATCATGCCCTTTCGTCACTTTAAACTGAAATTTGAGGTCGATAAACGATTACTATCAGACCAGTAGAATGAGAAACTAAATCAGCAGTATATTGAGTAGAAACTCATCCAAAGATGCTAGACTGTGTCCTTATTCTCATCCACATTGCATATAAATCTTTTTTTCCTCCTATTAGACTGTGCCACACATACCTGGCAATTGTACACGTACTTCAAAAACAAAGGAACCTCAGGAAAGCGATACTGTTCTCTGCATTGATTTTGAAGGGATTTCTGAAAGCAAATTATATCCCCATCTTCCAGCTGCAAAGCCAGAGTATTGCATTAAAAAAATCATTGCTAAAAACATATGAAATGAATACACATGAAATTGAAATGCATAAATTCACCATAGTGTCACCTGATAGTCGCAAAAACTCAGCATGCTGTCAATTTTTTCACAACACACACTAGGTTCAAATTTTATTTCCTGCGAATAACAAAATCTGAAAATCACATATCATATATTAAGAGTTAAATGAAAAAATTGGTAGAGAAGAAGAAAACTGATTAACCTCAAAGAGATCAATTTCTTCATCAGGTGAAAAGCCAGCCAATTCTTTTAGCTTTGATAATATCTCTAGTAGTTTGCCACTTTCTTTTACGAAAAGCCGTCCAACATACCTGAAAACAACAAAGAAATTAAACAGAGAAACACAAGAAAACCGCATCCACATCATGGATGAGGTTGTACAATGTCACATTCAGTTCTTTATGATGTCTATTTTAGAACTCTAGATTCATTAAAAGTACAAAACACCTCTCCGTGTAGTCGTAAGGAGATTCCAAATTCAAGCATGAAAATCACTACTTTAGTGAAAATATTGCTGCTATTGAGAAGAAAGATATAATACCTTATCTTCTCTTCGAGAGGGTCATAAAGTTTGAAAAATAGAAGGATTTCTTCCTTGGTTTTCCCTGGTGAAGATAAACGTCGCAAATCCTACAAGAATACACAAAATTTTAAAAAATAAGTCGTAAAAGTAAAACATGTTGGATAAAGCCTCACAGAGAAGACATGCAACAAGTTAATCACTGAAAAGAAAGACGAGAAATTTATTACCAGACATAATTCTACTTCCAGAAACAGTTTTAGCTCAGCATTGTTCACTTCATTTGAACTTCCTCTCAATTGGCCAACCTGAGAACACGCCATCAAAGAACTTAATACGGAGTTAATCAAGCACGGATTGTAGAAACCAAGCAACTGAAGACATTTATTTTTCTAAGCACGGCAAAATTGGTCGGTGTCAAGCTCATAACAAAACATTTCAGGAAACAAGGCATGTTTGCAATTTGCAATAACTATTACATTCCTTAGTGGATTAGAGTCCACATAGCTTTTTTTGTTAAAAGTGGTGTCCTGGCCAGGTTGCACAAACCTTGCCTATTCCATCGATTATCTGCTATCTCCCACCAGCACAAGTATCCGGTTGAGTCCACAAAAATATTATTGAAGATATAATTAATTAAACAAAAGTATGCTATCTCTAACACAGTATTTAATCAGGCAAAGGTTTTAGGTTCAAATTTCATTGTCAACCTTTATCAAAAAGGATTTTCATGTGGCTGGCTCGTCAAAAGGAATCAAGCCCGCATGTGAAGGGTACTGTGTTGAAGATATAATTAATTAAATAAAAGTTGCTATATTTAACAATTTAAGCTTTTAGATGAAATGATCAATACTTCAACAACTCTATTACTTTCTACATTCATGCAAACATACAAATTGATTAGGCTTACCTACTTATGGAAAATATTTTAAGTCTCTGCTACGCACGATGACCTACTCATGACAAATATTACTACGCATACTACTATGTCCACGAGAGAAGTAAGGTTAGTATTCTAGAATCATGAAGTGTTTAAGTTAAACTAGATGCTAAATATGTTTTCTTATGTTCTTAAAATATTGTCATTATATCTTGTCACATGTTTCTTTCATGAGCTTATTGGGTCGATTATGTCATTTACATACAATACTATTCCATGTGTACTGTGGGATTACACTGGGTATCTTGTTGTTGTTGTATTATTCCATATATACTTACGCCCCTTTTGTTGGGAGCATTGCATTTCACGATGCAGGTTCAAGTGTTCAGAGCGACATGCTTCCTCGTTAGGCATCTTTCTCCCTATCCAGCTCATATTGGTGAACCCCACTTCGTATTTGGGCCGATTCATGTCTCTTGATGTAGTTAGATCTTTTGGGTACATTGGGGCCTTGTCCCTACATTTCTATTTAGATGTCATGTTTAGAGGCTTTGTAGACTAATGTACTCAAGTCATGCATATGTTTCGAAAACTACTCCACATGTTCCTTATGACGAAATTTCAGTTATGTATGTGGAAAATGTTCTTTATATCGTTTTATGAAAAAGGAAAGTTCTTAGTAAACTCACTTAAATGTTTTACCATTCATGGGAAAGTTTGGTCTAATGAGGCCCATGCCTTCCATTCCATTTCAAAGTATGTTCTTCAAAGAAAGTTGTTATGCCATTGTGCATGTTAGAATAAAAGGGTTCGCTCGGTCAGGTTAAGGCACCGGGTGCCAGTCCCCCAGGCCTAGGTTCGGGGTGTGACATTAAGCACATCAAGCACGAGAAATATTTCACCACTACAAAATATCATACTAAGAACAAATTTTAGGTGGATCACCAAACATGAAATATACAAAGCATATTACAAGTAGAGCAAGAGTCACACAGCAAAAAAATAGGATTATCAGACTTACAGAGTGAATTTCCTCTTGGGATGTCAATGCACGATAAGGCCGATATGTGTGGTTATTGCGTTTATACCATAGCCAGTAACGTTGAAATTGCACCGGTATACCAAATGCCTTAGCAACTTCCTCCTGAAAACAGATATATCATCAAACACATACTATACTCAAAACTCACCGTGATTGACCAATGAGTTATATTGTGAACCCTTACCCTGCATTAGCCTCAGAATTCGAAGTTTTATCTTTTAACGTAATATAAATGACAAGTACAGAAAGATTACATTCCATATTTCAAGTTGTAGAAGCAGTAAATTTAACATGAATGATGAATGTACCTTGAATTGAGTAAATGGTATATCTTTCTTAATACGAAATGTACACACTTTATCATGATTCACAAGATCAAAATAAATCTCCTTCCCAATTTGTTCACCGAGGTCTTCATCACGAGCTACCTGATAATGAAATGAATAATTTCAGTTCAAATGTTTCGTAAATATAAAGACACAAGAAGTTAAGGATAGAGACGAAAAGTTGAAAGAAACCTTGATGATCGTGTAGAGACGAGCCTCTGCTTTCTCCTTTCTCTTTTCTTCTCGCTCTTTATTCAGTCTTACCTGAAATTTGAGGTCGATAAAAGATTATTATGACTGAACCAATAGAATGAGATGCTCGGTTTTACATGGACGAATTTGTAGGTGAAAATATGGGACACGTATCATAGTCTTTCAGTAAAACTAGATATTTTATGTATATATCTCTAAAGTTGGTATAATATTATACATTGGCTCCCATGCTATAGGACGCCTTAGCGATGCATTTGGTTGAATGTTGAGTTATCTACCTAGAAATCATAGATTCGCCTCTGCTTATCAACCACATTGCATATAATCTTTTCCTTGTCGTTTACACGTGTATAAACAAGCATGTATGTGATTGAATATTTTACAAGTTCAAACAATGAATTGCTGCCAAAAAATGAACTACTAGAACTTATCAAATTTCCAATGGCCTAAACTCTAACATAATCTCGACATTTGGAAATACAATGTTGTCGATGAACAATCTTAGATGTTCCATGTGTGTGTGGAATGTTGGGTTTGTATTGTTCGTTACTTTGGCTTCCGCTATACTTAGATTATGTTTGTATAAGACGACGATTATTTATGTGATTTTCACTAGTCTTTGTTGAGTTATCTTGTTTGCTAGGTAGGGTAGGTGCTCGTTAAGTGCCAATCACGACCTTCCAGAAGGGCAACCTCCTATTCAAACAAAAAGAAGTACCTCACCTCACTTACGAGGACATTGTTGGAGCTGGGCTCCACACTATGAGAGTTTATTTTTTATCTTTCTTAAAGAGGTCCGATCAAATAGGGATCAGAACATTCCTAGTGTTTTAACTAGTCATTAACAGTCGGCTTAATTAGTACTCGTTCGATCGTGACATTCACAAATTCATTCAGTATCACATTTTAAAAGATCAATTTCACACCACATTCACAGTGAACTAAATTGAGCAGCTATAAAATAAATAAATAAAATCAATATTTTCAAAACTACACCAAACACAGCTATTTTAAACTAAACAAAAAATACACAAAACAGAGTAAAACTATAGAAACAAAGTGAATATACACAGTTAATAAATTCAATAGCATTGCATTTTTAAAATAAATTTTAGCTCAACTTCTCACATCAACCACATAAGACTATATTCAGACATTTTCGACGTTTGGTCGTTAAAATTGTGAATATTTGAAAAAAACTATTTTTTGTTTTCAAAGCGAAAAAATTGGAGTTGTTTTTGAACTTTTGTGAGTAATTTGGAGTGACAAAAGTGAAACAAATACATTTTTGTTATTTTTCAAATTCCGGAATTAATCCAGGAGTATATCTTTCCACTGATCGAAAAAAGAAGAAGAACATAGTTATTCTTCCATCGGTTAGAAAAAGGAAATGATTTACTATTTTTCCTTTTTAGAAAATCAAAAATTCAATAGAATTCAAGTTGAATTATCGGAATTTTACGATCAAACGTGTTTTCCAATGTTCAACTCCAGAAAAAAGCAAAAATAAATCAGGGGCAAAGCTACGGTAACCAAAAATACGAAAAAACACGCAAAACAGAGTAGAAATGTAAGAACAAAGTTGAGTAAACATCGAGAAAGTAAATGAAATCAGAGAGAAAAAAAATACAGATAGATGATGATGAAGAAGAAGAAGATCATTACATCCATCGGAGTGAGGTCGCCGGAGAGTTCGCCGGAGAACGGAAGACAGTAAAGCCGGCGGGGAAAATTTGTTGAGCGGGAGTGTTTTGCTTGTGTGACTTCAAAAATATATGATTTGTTTGATGTAATTAGATTACTGAAATAAAGATCAACACACCTAAATATCTCGGGTTAGGTAGATTGTATTAGAAGAAATAATGCATTTATTAACTTTTAAAATTAGTAATTAGTTATACACTCTAATCTCTATTGTGCATTTTAGTATGAATAAAAACAACTCATCAATAGCTTTTTTTACATCTTTTTTATCAATATTACGAAGTGAGAGACTGGAGGCAGGAAAAAGAGTTGAGTCGATTAGGCTCAACAATCGGAAAAAGCAAAATGAAATCAGAATTTGACTGAAAAAGAAACAAGGCTAAAAATACAATGACCGTTCACCATCTATAAAAAAAATTTCTAAAAATTATTGTTCACTCTATAAATACAAGACAAACTCTGAATATATATGATAAAATGTTTGAACTTGGTCTTTTATGTGTTAGATAAGTAAAAAAACCAAATCTAAATTAAATTAGAAGTTATAAATACTCATATATTGTATTTGTGCACATATTTTATTTATATATTTATTTATGTTTCGAATAGTGGACAAAATTAACTATAAGCTTAAACTTAATGTGTATCAAGATCTTGAACATGTTAATCTTACGGAGATGACATTAGACATAATATACCTAAAGCTAAATTGTTTCAAAGAAAAGCTGCAACGCCACTTGAAATTGATTTCTTTCTCCTTGCTTTAACTTCACGTTACCATATCCATCAACGATGAAAAACATTATTGCCATAATTTTCACATTTCAGAGTAGACAATATTGAAAAGTGATAGAAAAGTATGTGGTAATTATAATGGGTGGATGAGAGAATCAATTTATAAAGGTTAATTAAGACTTGATTCGGTACATTCATTAAATAATCGATGTACGGATAATCTATTCTTTATTAAATATTAGTATTGCCTTTCATTAATTAGCTATAACTAAATAAGTCTTACATGCTCCCAATTTGACCAATGACCACATAACATCAATATTTTTTTTTATGATATAAACATTAATTGCACATAAAATAATTTTCTTCTATAGTGTCCATCATACATATCACTAATGTGAGATACGACAGTTATACATAATTTTGTATTATGTACTTCATTCCATATTCTACTATATTAACAACTTATCATACTAGGTTCGTAAGTTATAAAACATATAACATTACGATCCACAAGGATGTCTTATTGAGACTTATCATATAACATCTCAAAATAAGAATGTGTATATCATTATGAAAATAAAAAATTCTTTAATGTATAAGCAGAAATTTGAGCTCAAGGTGTCAAAATATCATAAATGCATTAACTAGAAATACAATCAAGTCTCATTATTTGAACATGTTTTTTTATATGCTTTTGGTTATAAGTCATTCGTTAATAAATCTGCAATCATGAAATTAATCATAATATTCTCAATTTTCCTTCTTTGTTATGAATTTCTTTCTTTAAAATGAAGTACTTCAATCTCGTAGGTTTGATACAACATTTATCGTTCTTAGAGAAAAATATCATTGCAATGTCATCACAATAAATTTTCACCGGCTTAGTAATGATGTTGACTATTCCAAATCTTAAATTCAAGTTCCGCAATAATAATGCATGAATTGTGGATTCAAAACATGGAACAAATTCTGCTTTCATAGTAGATATAGAATGACAAATTGGTTAACACTCTTCCACGAATTGATCCTTCAGCTAATAAGAACAAGTAATCAAATATGGACTTTCTAGTATTAACATATCCAACGAATGTGATGACTTTTAAGTGATTTGATCTAATTCTAAATGCAAACATGTAATCTTCAGTTTCTTTCAAGTACCTCGAGAGCTTATTTGCAGTTTTTTAGTGATCAATTTTTGGATTATTTTGATATCTTTCTAGCAATTCGATCACAAAATTAATATTTGATATTGTGCAAGTGTAAACATACATCAAACTTTTAACAATAGAGTAAGGATTTGACTATATATTTTTCTCGCTATATACATTATTCTTTGGTTATACATGAAATCAAATTTGTCTTCCTTATGAACAGGAACAATTCTTGCTGAATAATTATTCATGTTAAATATCTATAGTACTTTTTCAATTAGTTTTCTTTTAGAGATGATTCAAATAATTTTCATAATTCATTAAAATGTTTTATCCCTATCACATAAGATGTCTAATCCATATATTTCATTACAATATATATAGAGAAAAAGTCTTTTATTTCATGCAATATGTCTAATCATTAGCAACAAGTAAAGAAATCGTCAACATACACGACAAAATATAAACTTGCTCCCACTGATTTTCTTGATACACACATCGATCAATGACAATCTTTTTAAATCCAAAAGATGTTATGTTATCATTATCGAAATTGAATATTCAAAATATTAAATTGAATATTGAATAACGAACACTCATCCATAATGAACTATTTGCCATATATATATGAGTAACATTAATAAATTATTTAAATGTCTTGATTGACCTATGCAACCATGCCAACAAATTCATAATGTAAAGATTTCAAAATAAATATCTAACTTTTATACCTGATTTCTTTAAAAACAAACATCTTTAATATTAAACAAATTATAAATACATTTTGTCAATATATATATTTGATTATGTAATTGTATTAAAATTTAATTCATCACTCTAAAAGTTATATTAAATCAATCTTTAAAAATTTAATATTTACTTTTAATCATCAATTAATTAAATCAAATTTTAAAATATCGAATCAAATATCAAACGCTTTATCTACTTACCAAAAAAAAAAATAAAAGGGCAAGACAACAAATCATTTATTTACCGCCACGCCCGCCAATGTCAATTCGCCGATATTTTTCTCGATTTCCGTGTCCATCCACGAAAATAAAACCCTAATTTCCCCCTCAATTTCCATTTTTTTCCCTCGTCTTTTTCTCTCGGTGGTTTTGAATAAATGGCGGCGGCGGGAGACGGCAGAACGGCGAGTTCCTCAGCCTACGAAGGCGGAGGAGCTGGAGGAAAGTTCCGGAGACGACCGTTCCGTAAGAACCAAACTACTCCTTACGATCGACCACCGACTGCCCTCCGGAACCCTAGTTGGCTCACAAAGCTCGTTGTCGATCCTGCCACGAAACTCATCACTTCCGGTGCTCGACGGTTCTTTTCTTCGATCTTCCAAAAACGTCTTACCACAGCTCCGACGCCATTGCCACTACCTTCGATGCCATTGCCACCTCCTCCAGGTTCTGATTTACACATTTCTGTATTGGACTATGCTTATTTGAATTGTTTAGAGTTTGCTCCGAATTTGCTGTTTGTTCTGTAGCAGCATTACATTTGTTTAGTCAAAAGTTGTAATTTTCTTTCTTTGGGGAGCTCGATAGAGTGTGATCTATATTAAATAGATTTGTATAATAAATTACAACTAGTTTGAGATGGAGCTGTTGTAGTACTGGTTGTTAAGTTTGTCTTGTTAAATAACAGAATGCTATTGCATCAAATTTGGTTGATCTATCAATGCTTAGAAATGAGGTGATAAGTAGTAGTAGTTGTGTGTCCAGAAAGCAGAATGCTTTTGATGATTTTCATGTAGTCTCAAAGACTCAAAACACAAACTTGGAAAGCTTGTTTTTTTTCAGTCGGTATATCTAGTTGGCCCTTTGATGAATTTAGAAAAATTGCTGTAAAAAAGTTTGTCCTATGCTGCATACACTTTTCTTTATGATCTATTCGTGTGTAAATTGGTGTGTGCTCTGAATTGTTTGTTATTCTGTTGTGTTACATTTGGGTTTTCAAAAAATGTAATTTTCTACTGTGTTAAGTAAGACTAAAGAGATGTCTGCTATCTTCTTTTCCTTAAAAAAGAAAAAAATGTGCTTTCCTAGGTGTCTGTTGGGCCAATAGAGCAAAGTGAAGACAACTGATTCATATACTAACTCCACCTAATTTTGCTCTAAGTCATTTTCTGACATTTA